AATAAAGCTAAAAGTGCAAGATAGGAAAAAAAGGAAAAGGAACGATTGTAGTATCAGGCTGAAACATAACAAAATTGAAAAAAGTGAAGGGGGTCTGAATACTTTCTGAATACACTGTAAATAGCTGAAAGGGGAATACAATGGGTCTAGCCAGTTTTCTTTTCACTTTGGAAGCACATCCAAAGTAGAGTTTCATTCAGAATATTCCAAGTAACTAGTCGGGAAACTCTTTTCACAAATCCTCCCAGAACTTTTCAAAACTTCTGTCATGCTGATACAAACTTCAACAAATAGGATCACAGAGACTGCAGGAGACAGCACCAAATATTTGCACCTCTCCCATTCTATCAGCAAAAATTCTCTACTGTGTCAGAATCATGGAGGGAAATGCTTTTGTGGAAGGCCCATTCTGGGACCACATTTATTTTCCATTTATCATGTTTGTATTCTGCATATAGCAGTTAACAAAAAAATCAACACCAGAGATAAACAATAATCAATGCAAAAGTAAATATATAAAATATCACAAAGCATTTAAACAATAAGAACCCAGAAGCGTATAGTATCATAAAATCCCAGAAGACTAAAACACAAATTATATGAGAGAAAGGCTAAAGGGTAAAAAATAGTCATTCAAATCCATTTTAAAGTGAGTCAGAAAGAGGCAAATTGAACTGTATCGGGAGAGGGAAATGCACACATGAGTATGTATATACTTATTTGCATTATTATCCAGAAATAGTGTATGAGTTTCAGTGGCCTAAATAACTATTCCAGTTCTATGATCCTTCTAGCACTTGTATCTACTTGTAGCATGGCACAAACGTGGTCTGGAATTGGTTTTTTTTTCTGCCATATTCCCATGAGATGGTCTTCCTCTCATCCCTAGCCCGTAACCGAGACTTGACTAGTAGAGTGTTACCCCTAATATCAACATACATTGCCCAAGGTCATCCTATTAGGCTTTGTCACTCAAGGGAACTCAAGTAATTGCAGTGACCTAAAATAAAGGCAATAGAGACAGCATAGAAATTGGCAGTGGGGCAGGAAATGTCATGCTTTTAATTTTTTCTTCTCACTCAAAGATGGGTGGATAGCACTTTAATTCAACAGTAAAGAAATGACCTATAATTGAAAGGAAGACCCTGTCTGTTATGAGAAACCTGAGCAATCAATATGAAAAATGCAA